AGGGGGCTAGCGGGGGAGGGTTGTAGAGGGTAACGGTGGGGTAAAAAAATTAAAAAATTGAAGTTGAAAATATTTTCTTAAAAATAAGCTTTAAATTTATTTTTCAAACAAAAATAATTGCAATTTGAAGTTGGAGGAGAGTTTTGAAAAATATTTTCCTTAATTTTTGAAGGGAAGTCATTTTCCTTAAATTTGAGGAAAATGAGTTGATTTGGACAATATTTTACCCAACCAAACATGATAAAATTGAAAAATATTTTTTGAAAAATGTTTTCCTTCATACCAAACACACCCTTAAAAATAAATAATCATCCAATTCGATTTGTTAAATATGAGTTGGATAGCTAACTATTAAAAGATTGATCATATTATCCACTAAAAATGAATATCCATATGAATAAAATGAATATCGATACAATCCATTCTCATTTGTTAATCGTTTGTTTGTTATTTTCATGAGTTTTTTTTTGTTTGAAAGCTCTTATTTTAACTTTTAACTTGTGCTTTCATTTGATCAATCATATGAACAGTTATGTCTAAGCTCTTATTTTGACTCCTCTTCATGGCTCAAGATTCTCCTTATATAAACTTCCATATGGCAAAAGAATGTGCCAAATGACGCTTATATAGCATGATGCCATGACAGATCATCACACACAAGTCACAACTAACTATATAGTTTGTCTTACATCAAATTGTAATGAATAACTATACTAGATCACTTTTTTTCTTCTTCATAAAACAGTGCTACAAGTGTTAGTGAGTTGTCTCCTGCACGCTCTCATTTTTAACTTATTTCACTTTGAAGGGTGGTCGTCATTGTGCAAGGCAATATGAATACTATATGATAGGATAATATATAGACCCAACACCAAGGCACGGCTCCTTATTTTCTGTTTGGTTATCTACCCAACGGCACTACAAATACACCAATTCTAGTGTTTGTGTTTATTACTTCAATCGATGCTATCTGGATGAAATTAATTATTTGAACATCTATCTGCCTTGTTGCTTTATGGAAGTATTAATTCCATTACTTATTTCTTTTTATATATCCACATAATTATATACTATGTAATAACAAATTCACTAATAATGGACCAAAAAGTAGAAGAAGAGACTAGAGAGAGAGGATATGGTTGGGGGTTAATAGATTTTCCACCAAAAGAAAGTTGCTCATAATTTATTGTGACACTTTCTTTTAAGTCTTATTTTAAAGCTAATTTAAGTTTATTTTTAATAAAAATGATTTTAGTGACACAAATATCAACTTGTTTTAAACCACAAGTTTTAAATAATAATATGTCTTTCGGTTGCCAAGTTATGTAGGAAACTAGAATAATACTTAATATGTTAAATTTTACCCAAAACAACTATAAGACTACCAAACATAATAGAGAAAATGGTCTAGAACCCCCCAACCTATATCCGAAATCTCAACTACACACTCCAACTTTACGAATGTCCTATTACCCACCTGAACTTTATATTTATCTATTTTATACACACCTAAGTGCTGACCTCAACACATAAACCAAATAATTAGGCCTGCGTGATTCCACGCGATGGGTCCCTCACCTCTTCAACTCCCATTTCTTGTTTTTTCCACCATTTCCCTCCTAAAACGTAAAAGAACAAAAAAAAAATCCTCTTTTCTCATTTTCAATCCTTCTCCATTAGCAATGCCCTCTGTTAACTAAGAGCTTAGGTTGACAGTTCCACCGAAATGGCCATAGCGCAGCCGGCGACGGTCATACGACCTTCAGACCAATGCAAAAATATACCTACGGAGGAGACGGATCTTCTCCAACAAGAATCACCTTCAAATTCCAACCACAACTCCTGTTCATCTTTCGGAGGGAGTGATTCAGATCGTTCCAATTAGGTTTGATTCATCCATACAAAGCTTATTCAAGTTTCCACTTGCCATTTTTGATGAATTTCGAGAAAATTCAAAATTAAAATTAGAGACCTAAATAAGAAATTAGAGCATATTACAAATCCTAAATTCAAGATTTGAAGTAGAAATGAACATTAACAACTAAACCCTACTTAATTTTGAGAGGAAATTGTGATTTTTTTTATATAAGGAACAAGGGTTAATGGTGGGGAAAAAGAAATAATGGTTTATTTAGAAGTGGGGAAGATGACCATTGGAGAAGGAGGAATTTTTCGTCAAAATTAATGTTTTAACGCGCCTAGAGGAAGTGAGAACACCTACCATGACAGGTCAGCACTTAGGTGTGTATAAAATAGAGAAATATAAAGTTCAGGTGGGTAATAGGACATTCGTAAAGTTGGAGTGTGTAGTTGAGATTTCGAGTATAGGTTGGGGGGGTTTTAGACCATTTTCTCTTTTTATATTTTTAAGTAAATCTCGAAAATGAGTAATTAATTAAAAAAATAAGAATAATATGAAAAACATATAAAATTAACGCAAAAAATTCACAAATAAATATAGTAACCTTAAATTCAACAATTTCAACAAATTTTTTTATTATTTAATTATTTTCGGTAAATCCCAACATTTAGTAATTAATTAATAAAAAATAGAAAACATATAAAAAAAATATAAATTTAACCCCACAAATTTATAAATAAATATAGAAACCTTAAATTCAACAATTTCATTAAAAAAATTAAATTTGGGAAATACCAAAAATGTGTAATTAATTAATAAAAAATAGGAAATATATAAAATTAACCACAAAAAATCACAAATAAATATAGTAACCTTAAATTCAACAATTTCAACAAATTTTTTTATTATTTAATTATTTTCGGTAAATCCCAACATTTAGTAATTAATTAATAAAAAATAGAAAACATATAAAAAAAATATAAATTTAACCCCACAAATTTATAAATAAATATAGAAACCTTAAATTCAACAATTTCATTAAAAAAATTAAATTTGGGAAATACCAAAAATGTGTAATTAATTAATAAAAAATAGGAAATATATAAAATTAACCACAAAAAATCACAAATAAATATAGTAACCTTAAATTCAACAATTTCAACAAATTTTTTTATTATTTAATTATTTTCGGTAAATCCCAACATTTAGTAATTAATTAATAAAAAATAGAAAACATATAAAAAAAATATAAATTTAACCCCACAAATTTATAAATAAATATAGAAACCTTAAATTCAACAATTTCATTAAAAAAATTAAATTTGGGAAATACCAAAAATGTGTAATTAATTAATAAAAAATAGGAAATATATAAAATTAACCACAAAAAATCACAAATAAATATAGTAACCTTAAATTCAACAATTTCAACAAATTTTTTTATTATTTAATTATTTTCGGTAAATCCCAACATTTAGTAATTAATTAATAAAAAATAGAAAACATATAAAAAAAATATAAATTTAACCCCACAAATTTATAAATAAATATAGAAACCTTAAATTCAACAATTTCATTAAAAAAATTAAATTTGTGTATAAATTGCGTTTCTGTTTGTATAAAGCGAGAGAAAATTGTATATACACATGCAAATACATATATATTCGTCCTATACACTTATAATTATACAATAAAAATATTCCCCTGCCCAGTTTTATGCTTGTATAATGTATAATTTATGTTTGTCAACGATTTATACAAACGAGAGGCTAACAACAATTTATACAAATGGCCTGCCAGCGAAATTATACAATTCTGAAGAGGAGCCAACGAATTATACAATTGCTTCTTTTTGTATATATGTATAGCGAATTATACATATATATGTTTGCTATGGAGTGCAATTATGCAAACTTTGCTATATCATACAAATATGATTTTTTTGTTTGCTGTATGTGAAAGTTTCTCTAATATTAACTATCCTAGTTTTTATACATTAATAATTTCTTCCTTAACTAGCCACCAAACAATTAGTTGTACTTAATTTATAAAATAGTAACTTGACATAAAAACTGCGATAATATTACTTTGTAAAATGAAATAAAGTATACAAGCCCATCTAGCACAGTTGGTAGAGCGCAAGGGACGAAGGATAATATTTTTTATTACGAATAAAATATATACTTGTATTTTTTTAACTCGATGAAGGGCATTCGGACGATTCGTCACTCATTAACAGAATCCTATCTTCCCGATTCGTCACTCATCAACAGAATCCTATCTTCCCTGGCCAGCCAAGCAAAGTAGAACTAAACTTCAAAACCCTGATACCCTTCCGGAGGCAACATCGCCACATTTCCGCCGTCGCATCGGCGGCTCATATGACCTCGACCGGTCAATTGAAACCTAATTTGGACAACGAAAACGATACCGGAAAAGCATCTCCGGGGGACAGTGGAGGGACTTAGGCATGAGGCTCGTTGTGCCCTTACAAGGTGTAGTTCAAGGCAGAGGCGGCCTTATTTTAGGCTCACTCATTCCTTGTGCACTTTTCTACTTTCTCCAATTCTACTCAAAACGACACCGTACTACCCCGTCTTCTTCTAATCCTCCGTCACCGTCCACGTCGTCGCCGAACCTCTCCGAGTTACAACGCTCGTCTTCACGTTTAAATTTGTCAACTCGTGGTTCTGTTGGCCGTGTCTTCTTGTCTTCAAGGGCTAGTTTGGTTGCTGCACCGAATGATTCCCCTTACTACATTGGAATGGATAGGTTCCGAGCGGATCCGTACGATGAATTGGATAATCCCGACGGTGTTATTGATCTCGGAATTGCGGAAAACAGGGTATAGTCTGTGATTTTTGCTGTTGTAAAAGTCTGCTAATTTATGGGTTCATTTCTTCTTTCTGTACTGGAAATCACTGATTTTACAATGTGTTTCTTCTTCTGTATTTGCTTGAAGTTGTCGCTAGATTTGATTGAGAAGTGGATTTCAAGCAATGTGAACGGTTCCACGCTTGGAAGTTGCGGTGATGGATTGAATATCAATGGAATTCTTACATACCAGCCATTTGATGGATTGGCTGAGCTGAAAGTGGTAATGCATTTTAAATCTGAAAAAAATTAGTAATGTATTTTAGTTCATTTCGTTTTTCTACTGGAACTTGCTCCTCAGTACAGTGAGAGTTCTTGCTGTAAAGCCTACTTGGTATGGCATGAGTTCTCTTCAGCATAATAAATGAAGGATGAGGTGGGGAATGGGAAATGGTGTTTGCTGAGATGCTTACGCTTTGATAGGAGCAAGTGACAAGTAGGAGTCAGGTGGAAAATGATTTATGCCTTAATCCCAACTTGTTGGCATAGTAATTATCATTCTTGTTATGTATCTGAGTTGTTTTCCTTCTTTTTGTGGAAACTATTTCTTCAAAGAGAACATTGGACCGTGCTTTAGCTCTCAAACACGGGAAACTGGAACCATTTGTATTCGCTTCCTATCATAGAACTAAAAATAATTATGGAAGGTCTTACTTGTGTTTTTCAGCACTTTAATTGTTTTTACTCCATTTATACTATTAGTACAATAAATTAGTTTGTATACAAGCGACTGGCCAGCAATTAATGGTACTTATCTTCGCAGTCCAGTCAAGATGAATTAATAGACTTCCCTTTCTTGTAGGATAAATGAATAAATGCATGTCTTTGTATCATCTAGTTTCTTCCTCTTTCATATTTTAATTTTCTATGGTATTTCTTACTGTTTGATTTTCAATATATGGCATACTTACAGTTATTACTTAGTTTGCTCGTTAACCAATTTTTTTCATGAAATAACTAGTGCATTCATTAAATAAAACTGTTATTCTTGAACACAATTGGCTAGTCCTAAAAATGCAACTCGATGAGGAAAAATAAGGAATAGATGGCTACTGAATATGCATGTTTTGTTGAAAATCTAGGCACCAGTCTTATAGTCTATCGAACCTGTGTTGCTCTATGATCACGAAACATGAAAAGAAAATTTACCTTGCTGTTTTGGTACGACAAATAACTTCTCAAAAAAAAAAAACTTTAAACAACTATTCATTAGTACTTTGTTTCCAAGTTACTTTTTGAAGTGCAAATGTTGTAGAGTATATCTAGTTAATTTCTAGATTCTATGGTCAATTGACAATTGTAGAACGTAGTTTATAAGTTTTTGTGGAAGTATAACGAATGACTTGTGCTCTCCTTATATTGTCTTGGACAATCCTCCCTCATGGACTAGCTTTTAAGGTTGACTATTGAGTTAGATCCAAGATCTATTTCTTCACATGGTATCATAGCCAGACTCATCGATCCTCGTTGTTGTGTTTTTCAATGTTAGATCCCGGGTTATGTTATCCATGCTCCTCCCACCACCACAGTTTTCTAATCCTGAGCGTTTCTGAGTGTTAAGTTCCACGTTGGTTGAGCAAATGTGTTATAGTCTCATTATATGGTCTTAGATAGTCCTGTCTACATGAGACTTTAGGGATTGTGGTAGATCCGAGGTCCATTTCCTCACACATACATCCCAAAATAGCTTTCAACGTCAATGGCACATCAAGCACTGATGTCAAGTTTTGCCTTTGAAAGCTCCAATTCAGTACAAGTTCTAGAATTGTTGTGTCTTCTTCCAAAGAGGCAACTTTGATCATTCAAGTTCCCTCAAAAGGGCATGAGACATTCATAAACACCAAAAGAAGCATCTTAATTAATTCAAAAAGTACAAATGTCAGTTACATACTCTATCAAAAAATGGCACCAATGTTACATAGAACAAATATTTTAAAATTAACGTAACACTATAAAAATGTAAAAGACTACCAACATATGGTACTTTGGGTTGGAGGCATTTGGTCAATTATGTCTAGTTCTCCTAGTGGTTCAGGGATTTTAAATTTGTAATTTTTCGTTATTAGTACATAATACATAGAATGCCTCATTACTACTTTCTGTTATCGTGTCATAGCCCCAAATGGTTGAAGTTGAGGAGTAACTGGCAAGTTATTAGTGTCCAAATTTAATGAAATGAGTCCAAACACTAAAGCAATATTGAGATGCAATAGGTCGTGACCATCGAATGTCAGTATTTGACATGGTATGAAGTTAGAGCACTGTCATAAATTTAGAACATGCTTCTTAGGTAGGGAGCATTATCCGATGCCCAATATTTTTTAAGTTATCTTCAGCTTATAATCATTGAATTTGACCGGAAAAATCTATAGAAGTGTATAAAGAAAAAACTTTCCAGGTTGGGCTAATAAATTTTTGATATACCCATGTTTACAAGTAAAGTATTTTTTTTTGTTTTGCTCTGGAACAGGGAGGATTGGGATGACCTGAGGCTATAGGTTCTGGTTTTGCCTAAAAATTTGATATTTCTGTTATTTCCTCTATCCTTTTCCAATTTGGTTGTGTATTTTTTTACGTCTTATATTTATTAAGAGAAATTCAAAATTACCAATTAGGAGAAACAACCTCTCTACCTCCCAAGGTAGGGGTAAGGTATGTGTACACTCTACCCTCCCCAAACCCCACTTGTGGGTTTACACGGTGTATGTTGTTGTTTTGTGGTTCCATATTGACTTTTGTGTCAAGGAAAAAGAAGTTGAGGGCAGAATGATATTTAAACAGAGTGAAAGAGGGTTACACAACTTTTTCTAGTTTTTAAAATGTATAAAATTTTCTATTTAAAGAGAGTGGGGACACATTTTGCCTTCCTTGGAATATTTTGATCTTATACTAAACAGATTTATATGCGTGTAAAAAATATAGAGATTCTTTTAAAAAATATTTAGCTTATTTTCACTTCCATTTTTGTTTTGGTGCGATGATGGCATGAGTTGAACTTAAATGGAGAAACATGGTCTATGAGGATTCATATAGCTAACAACTTGTTTGGGATTAAGGTGTGGTTATTGTTATTGGGCCACATTTTGGGACAACCTGAAAAAAAGAAATAGGACAAGTATTTTGGGAGGAAGGGGTATTAACCAGCATCACTAAAGGCGTGCTTAAACCTTGAAGTTTGGTGTAAACTCAGTCTGAGTACTTCACATTGGCCATTGTGGAAGCAACTCTTTGGCATAGACACTGATGCTTTGAAGCATTCTCATGGTCTCTGTCTTGAAGAGGTTGACGCTGATCAATAAATAGAGCTAGCAAAACAGCATATACAGCTAACAGATTTTCTGGATAAATATGATAGTGATTAAGAATAGAAAAGTACCGCACTTATGGGATTACACTTGGTATGTTGTATTAAGAAAAGAAAAACTAGATTATAGATTGTTTTATAGATATACTGCTTGTATACATGGGTTTTCACCCAATTTGATGGATATATATATATACCGCCTCTATATTGGGGGAGGGGAGGGGAGGGGAGGGGGGTCAATAATATTGTGTACTTTATCCCAAAAAAAAACAGAATTGCACTTGCTTCTGGATCAAAAAGTCCAAAATAATTTTTGAACTTGATTGCATGGTTTTGACTCCCTATATCTCATTAAATGTAGTAACCATTTTCCCCCATATCTGTTGTTTGCATTTATAGTTGTTTTTTGTTGTGTTACACATGTGTTTCTTTTTCTTTTTTGTTTGAAACTGGTAACTTTACACATGTGTTTCTTTTTTCCCACCTTGCTTTACGTCTTTCTCCACTAAGGCGCAAGCTTTAAGTGCACTTTGTTCTTAAAATTTCAGCATCCCTTGATGCAAATCTATGCTTTTCGCTTTTGACAACATCGCCTCTATTTTGGGGGAGGGGAGGGGAGGGGAGGGGGGTCAATAATATTGTGTACTTTATCCCAAAAAAAAACAGAATTGCACTTGCTTCTGGATCAAAAAGTCCAAAATAATTTTTGAACTTGATTGCATGGTTTTGACTCCCTATATCTCATTAAATGTAGTAACCATTTTCCCCCATATCTGTTGTTTGCATTTATAGTTGTTTTTTGTTGTGTTACACATGTGTTTCTTTTTCTTTTTTGTTTGAAACTGGTAACTTTACACATGTGTTTCTTTTTTCCCACCTTGCTTTACGTCTTTCTCCACTAAGGCGCAAGCTTTAAGTGCACTTTGTTCTTAAAATTTCAGCATCCCTTGATGCAAATCTATGCTTTTCGCTTTTGACAACATCGTCTTCATTAGATCAGGACTTTGTACCTCACATAATTTGTACTGTATGCTTCTCTTTTGAATTTCTAAGATTCTTCAGCGATCCAAATCCAGGCATCTTAATTTATCAGTTTCTTGTCTGCCAAAATGTGACTTCATCAATGAAAAGAAGATTAAATTGAGGCAGGTAACCCGTGGAATTAGTCAAGGTGCACGCAAGCTAGCCTGGAAACCACAGTTATTTTAAAAAAAAGAGATTAAAACGAGACTTTCAGATTACTCTAATCTGGTTCTGATCTTCCAGGAGTTCACCTAATTTTTTCTTTGGGATTTAGAGTATACTAGTGTTGTTGATATCCATGTAATTTGTTCTTTACAGTCCACCTATTGTAGTTTCAGTCTCTTAGCAATTTAATTCGCCTGCTGTCTAATAGGGTATCTGTCGGGCACTATTATTTGTTTTAACGTCTAATTAAATCACCTCTATCAGCGATTTCTTTTAAATGATATATTGTAACATTGTAATCTTAATTGTGTAGGCCATGGCAGGCTTCATGTCTCAGGTCATGGGAGAAAAAGTGTCATTTGATCCATCTCGAATGGTGTTAACATCAGGTGCAACTCCGGCCATTGAGGTTCTGTGCTTTTGTTTGGCTGACCACGGGAATGCTTTGCTTGTTCCAACCCCCTATTATCCTGGGTAATTTCTAATTTCAACCTGATTTAATATAATGTCACATTGTCTTTTTCTATCTCCTCCAGTATGCACACCAGTGCTGTGCAGCTCGTGTGTAACTAGATTCTGTCTGCAGCTTTGATAGGGACATAAGATGGAGAACTGGTGTAGATCTTATACCTGTTCACTGTCGTAGCTCCGATGCTTTCATGGTGGATATAATAGCTCTTGATCAAGCATTTAGTCATGCAAGAAAGCGAGGGCAAAAGGTCCGTGGAATACTTATCTCAAACCCGTCTAACCCTGTAGGGAACATTATGAGTAGGGAAACGCTATGCAGAATCTTAGATTTTGCGAGGGAGAAGAACATCCATGTAATATCAGATGAAATATTTGCTGGATCTAATTATGGTGGTACAGAGTTTGTAAGCATTGCTGAAATTCTTGATGAAGAGGATCCTGACAGGGACAGGGTTCATATAATATATGGATTATCCAAAGACCTTTCTGTGCCAGGGTTTAGGCTCGGTGTTCTGTATTCCTTCAATGAGAATGTTGTGGCAGCATCTAAAAAGTTGACAAGATTTTGTGCCGCTTCAGCACCAACACAGAGCCTATTAGTTGCAATGCTTTCAGATGCTGGGTTCATCAAGGATTATATGAGAACAAACAGAGAGAGATTGCGCAAAGTGTTTGACTTATTTGTGGCAGGTCTAAAACAATTGGGCATTGAATGCATGAACAGCAGTGCAGGCCTGTATTGTTGGGTTAATATGAGCGGATTGATTTGCCCTTATAATGAAAAGGGAGAGCTTGAGCTGTGGGAGAAGCTCTTGAATGTAGCTAAGATAAACGTGACTCCAGGGTCAGCTTGCCATTGTATTGAACCTGGATGGTTCAGATGTTGTTTTAGTACGGTAGAAGAAAAGGACATTCCTGTAGTTATGGAACGGATACGTAAAGTTGTTGAACGTAGTTAGGCCTTCTGATTAAATGTTTATAGCTTTAAAATAGTGTATGCTGTGTTAGTTATGTCATTTTTTTTCTGAGAATGCACTGTCCCTATTTTGGAATTTGATATGTGCATCATTGACACTTAATACTAAAGTTGCACTCATGTTGCCAATTATAATTCCAAGCTGTACAGTAGAATGTGAAACGTGTTGCACAAGTTTAAATTAAGAACGGATAACAGAAATGACTTTCTTAGGTGACGAGACAGTAAGCCCTTTCAAAGTTGTGCCAAACTGTGAATCAAGATGCACATCTTTCAGATTAGTTTGAGCTGCAATTGCCTCTTCCACTTGTTGTGCAGTTCGCCAATGCTGTTGCCAATTCCAAGGATGCAGCTTCCAAAAACATCATTATCCATCATTTCCTGCAACAAGTATTATATTGTTCTTGTTTAAGTTGGGGGCATATATAAAGAGGGTTAATTGGAAAACGTCTTACTGCTATTTAATGCGAATTATTATGCCTGTGTTTACTAGTTGTTGGGTTAAACAGGATAAGTGATTGATGTTTTTCAGAGAACTACCTTAGAGATGCTCTGCTTCTGCATTTGGACGGTTTTCCTTTGGTAACTTCTTCTTCGGCTCATCATTATCAGCTCACCTAGAGTTAGTGGATGCCTTACTTTGGTGCTGCAATTGTTTTCACGAACTTGATTGTTATTAAGTGCTTTCGGAGGAACATGAGAACCTCCTTTTTCAGGGTTGCTGCAGTTCTGAAGAAAGCTTGTATCAGGTGATAATAGAGGGAAGAGCTTTTCCAGAAAAGCAGTCCCAACCAAGCTTGTAGTTCCAGTGGCATAACTAAGAACACTGCTGCCTGCTTCAGAAGTTGGTGAAAGAGGAGTCTGTAGCTGGCTGTGGTGTATGTCTGCTGTCGGAGAAGTTTGCTCCACAGGAACAGCACTTGAAATGTCCACAGTTGGTATGAAGCCATTAGCTAGGAGGGAAGAAGGGGCTGAGCTGAAGGATTCATAAATTGATTCAGAATCAGATGCCTCAACTTCTGATTCTGACATCTCATCTTCTTCATGACTACCATGCTGATCAATGTACTCGCCAATTCCAGCCCAGAAGTCATCTCTACCTTCATGCACATCCCTAACAATTGAAGGTAATCCAACAATATTTCCGTGTGGAGATGTCTGGGAGAAGAAAGGGAGAGGTGTTCCTGGCTTTTCTTCCCATTCAAAGGGAACAGAAGCAATGAGCTTAACTGGGGGTGTAAACGTAAACGCACCACTAGTAGTAGCCATAGCCACAGGCTTTGGTTTCCAATCCTTTATCGGTATTCCTGGTCTTTCTTCCCAGATAAACGGAATAGAAATTTGTTGTCTCTCTTTCTTGCAGGTTGAATTCCCAGAAGGGTTGTTTTCTGCCATTGGAGCAACATATATTGTCATCGCCATTTCGTTTTTTTCTTTGTTGGCTGAGGGAACACCACATACATATATATAGCAGAGAGTAAGTGGGTTAGAGGAGTTTGCAACTAAACCTACATGCCAACCGCACCATTTCTGCAAAGAAAGGTTAGGCAAACGTACTGTCTGTTATTGATTATAATATATATTAATATGAAGTTATCTCTCTTACCTAAGCACTCGTGTGAGAAGAATTCTTTGACTAAACATTTTTGGGCAAATTCTTTTTGTTGAAGAAGCGTTGTGTCATAGCCAATCGAAGAATTGGTCAACAAACTTGATATGCCTTACCAAACTACTTGAAAACTTTTTGGTAAAATTTAGGCTGGGTAGTGGGTTCAATGTTCACTAGTAGTTTATTAGTGCTCTTCGAACTACTACAATAGGAAAAATCCTTGGAAGCCTTCTCTTGTGAAGTTTTGGTCAATTTTCTTTGTACTTTTCAAATTATTAACTGAAGACATTATTATTCAATTTCACATAGTTTAAAACATTTTGATTCTTATCCATTGTTTTATTCTATTTTATAATAAGATTTTCTTGAATATGTTTGTGGACCAACTAATTAAGACTTCACACTCAATGTCCACATTCTCATTATTAATCACCATGATTTTGATTTGCAGCATTGGATTGATTTAGCTCCTATGTAATGGCGATTTAATTATTTTTAAAAACATAAGCAGGTAATTATACCATGATCTAAAGGGTCTGTGACATGTAAAAATAAATAAATTATTTACTAAATAATTATTCTAAAAAAGACGATGAAGGAAAATTTCACTTAAAAGAATGGGACAATTTCATATATATACAATAAAGTAATTTTATTTGTACCCAATATAGCTAAATTTTCATTTACATAAAATAACCAAAATTAGCAATACGTATGGGCATCAAAAATTACTTTCAACAAAATGACTATATGTATATGCAATGTATCTGATATTGTATAAATATGTATATTCGTGTATAAATGATGAGTAACTATATATTAAAGATGTATATACATTAATATACATTGTTGATACAATAAAGTATATATTGTAGATCGATTTTTTCCCCAATTCTAACCAACTCACTACAATAAAGTATATAGATCAATTTTTTCCCCAATTCCAACCAACTCAAATCTTCTCTAAGCAATTCTCAATGTTTTGAATCTTTTGATGATATATTATTCACTCAAAACAATTAACGTTTGCGACATATCGATATCTAAAATTTGAGTTTCAAAGATTTTCAATGGCGAACTTCAATGGTCATCAACTCAAATCTTCCTCAAAACAATTCAAAATTGTTAGTAATGAACTTCTCTTTTGATATATTATTCACCCAAAATGAATTTTAAAAATGATTCACGTTTTCCTCCCCTATTTTTCTTCAATGACGAAAATAGTAGTACTATATTCTAATAATGACGCCCAAAATAGAAACAGAATAAGAAGGAAAAATTAAGGGAGTTGGAAGAAAGCAAATCATGATTCAATTCTTAGCTAGTTGTTTTCTCATGTGTATGGTGAGTAAATAAAAAGGAGTTGGAAATTTCTTAAGATGGTTAATGTGTTGAAATTATGATATTCAACTGACTAATTGAAGTAAAATATGAAAATTGGACTAATTTGGGTTAGTAAAAGTGACCCAATGGTCATTTTCTTTACGGTAACTTATAGAAATTTCCCTAAATTTATGAGTTAATTATTTAGATATATGTTAATTTGTAATATTATAAATCTTATCAATTTTGGACTTCGAATATATGTATTTGACATATCCAGTATTATTACTTAAGGAAATATATATAAGATTGTTATACTCACATGTCAAAAAAGCATCTAATTAATTAGTGAGACAATATGTAATTACTTCAAACTAGAAGATAAATTAATAAAAATAGTAGGAATATTTGTCTAATTAGGTAACTTTTTCTTTCTTAAAATATACTTAGAAGGCGGACGTTAGTGTGGAGCGGCCCAAATAGGCTAATAAAATTTTCAAATATGATTTTTAGGGAACTCCTAGTTTGATTATTATTTGGATTCTATAAAAGTTTCCTCTAGGCTCTATATATAAAGTAATTATAACCCCAAATACATCATTATATAGACACCCATCACTACGACTAATCAATTGCATAGAAACACATTATAACCAAATAATTAAGAAGAAAAAATGACTTCCTGTGACAAAACAGAAAACCCAACTTTATGCCCAAGAAATTGTGGTTCCTATGCAAATTCAAGAAATTACGATCACTATGATGAAATATATTTATTCCACAAGATGTTTCTTAAGGAAAAAAATGACTTCTTGTGACAAAACAGAAAACCCAACTTTATGCTCAACGAATTGTTGTTCCTATGCAAATTCAAGAAATCACGATTCCTATGACGAAATATATTTATTTCACAAGATGTTTTCTCTTACTATTAGAACCGGAAAAGATGATTTGATGATGAAGACGAAGCCACAAAAATGCATGGTTTGCAGGAAGAAGGTGGGATTACTAGGGTTCAATTGTAAGTGCGATGAAATATTTTGCGAGACTCATAGACATCCAGAAGAACATGCATGCACTTTCAATTTCAAGTCTATAGGACGTGCGATTTTGGCCAAGAAAAATCCACTATGCAAAGCTGATAAACTTAAGAATAGGATTTAAATTACTATTATTGATTATGTATCAAGTTTGTTATTAATAGTACCTAATAGTGTAATATTGCACTTCCGTTTCTATTAATGTCATGTATACTATTGTTGAGTATAAGGTACATAAATTTAAGCCACAATGTTCAATTTTTTCCACCTTAATTTATTTTAATTTATTTTCCATCTCTCAATATAGATACTTGACCATCCCAAATTGGACGTATAATTAGGGTTAATGTGTACTTATCTGATATGAAAAACGAAACAAGAAGATGATTAATTTATACCCCCTTTGTTAATCTTTACTTGTCAATTTATACTATTTTTTGGGATGTTCAATAATACTTATTCAATTTATAAAGCCAATAAATAATTTACAATTTTGCATCTCTTTTACCTTTGCTATTAATTACTATGCATTTTTAAATGTTTAGATAACTTATACTCCCTCTATTCCATATTAACTGAATTTGTAATGTAATGCACACTTATTGAAAAAAACATTCAAGGACATAATTTAAATCATACTTTTCACTATTGTCCTCTGTGAAATCATAAATCTAGAAAATATCAAACTTCATTAAAGGAAAGGGCAAATAAGGAAAAAATTTCAAACATCCATCTTAAACTTTGAACAATTCAATTATTTTGAACAATGAAAAAACCCCAAAATTCAGTTAACATGAAATAGAGGGAGTATTTGATAAGGGTGATTTGGTAAAATTACCCAATTATTTACTGTTTTTTATTTCCTTAGTCAAATCAATAAAGAACGACTATTATTATTGGACTGAAGAAAGTAATTTTTAAATTATACACCATTTATATTTGAAAGTTCCATAAATGATACTGCAGGAACTTTAAATTGCACGACTAATGATATATCTTAACCTACCATAATCAAATTGCACAAATATAAGCGATTTGAGAATCGCTATTCAAGAATAACCTACGTTCAATTTTTTAAATTTCATGTATTTAGATGTATTTGACTTAAAATTTGATATGATTAATTAGTGAGATAATA